TTCGGTTCGGCAGTGATGTTCTAAAGAAAACAACCGTTTACGAGTGGCATGAACGCTTCAGAAGTGGTCGTGAATCCGTCGAGGAATCAGTCGAAAAAGAAAGCGATGCTCACAGTTTTCATGGATTACAACGGTATTGTATATCACGAATTTTTGTCAGAAGGTCAGACAGTTAATAAGGAGTATTATTTGGGCGTTATGAGACATTTTCGTGAAGCAATTCGCCAAAAAAGAAAGGATTTGTGGGTAAACAACTCGTGGATTTTGCACCATGATAACGCACCGTCGCACAGTGCCATCATTATCCGTGAATTTTTGGTCAAGAACAAAACGAATACCATCCAACAGCCATCGAATTCACCCGATATGGCTCCCTGCGATTTTTTTCTGTTCGATCGAGTCAAAAAACCACTGCGGGGAAACAGCGCGTTTTAACAGCCGAAAGGAGATAATGGAAAAATCGAAGACGGCTCTGACCAATAATAGAGTGCCAGAAATGTTTCGAGAGCTGGATCAAGCGCTGGCATAAGTGCGTTGCAGTCGCTGGAGAGTACTTTGAAGGGGACAATATCACTTTTGATGAATAAACTTGTATTTTGAATTTTCTGAATGAATTCCGGAAACTCTTTGATCAAGTTAGTATTTCAGCTTCGGTTTAAAATTATATTTTAAGGCCGACAAATAATCGGTTCGGTTTATTTGAAATGGAAATTGTGCAATAATGAGCATCTTTAAAGCATCATAAATAATTTACGAAAAATATTATCTCGATTCGAACTTGGATCTTCCGAATTCTGTGGGCTATTTATGTCACATAATTATAAAATTTGGAAAATTTGCAAGACGTTTAAAAGCATTTAGATAATAAAAATTGAACGAAAAGTTATAGAATAGTCCTTATAAATTATCTTGTCTATTTGCTAAAGTACTATCAAGTTTATCAGATTGTACGTTTTTATTCAGGGATGAAAGTATTTAATTAGATCTATGTATGTTAAAATCAGCACGCAATTGATAAGCACTCTTACTACAATACAATATAATCTTTTGATGTAACAATCCACTTCACCTGTTAATTATCCACTTATGTCATCATCTTTCTGCTATGGATACTACAATTCTATTTAGTCTTTCTATTTCCCAAGTATTTTCACACAGTATCATTTTCGAAATGTAGCGCGGATATCGCGAGACTATTACGTTTTGTCAAGATTACGGTGAAAGGAAAATAATTATTTTCCGCTTGTAAAATTAATAAAAAATTAATCGTATCAATTAAAAGCTACTGTTTCTGAACGTGCATTTTATATTTATGTTTTCATTTTATAGATATAATTATAATTTCATTTTAAATGAAATAATAAAATAGTAGTAATAAAATTTTTATTTAATCTATAAATAATTTTTATTCATTTCTTCGTAAACAATCTTCTTTCAGTCACACGACACAAGATATTCCTCTTTCTCAAAATTTGTGTTTACCGATTTTTTCAACTTTAAATATATTACGAGGTGATACTTCCTACGGAATTGCCAGAACACTAAAAATAATGCATTTTCTCATACGATCCGCCTTGTTCGAGCCACAGAACTGCGAACGATCGGCCAACTTTCACTGACGACTCGTTAGGTTCGCCGCCGTGGTTTCGAGTCATTCACAGTTATTCCGCGACTCTTCGACGGTCTGCAGTAGCGTTGTCCATATTTCTCTTCTCGTTCGAGACGGCAGCTGTCACTTCAAAGTGCGCGTTTGGTGATATATCGGCATCGACACGTAGTGACACGTTTGCAAATTCTATGTTTCATTCTACTATTTTCGGAACGTTATTGTAAGCTTGTTTACGTCTCGCACAAAACGTCTCCTGGTGACACAGTGATATTCGACGTCCAGCATTTCATCTGGATATTTTTCACGGTGAACCCTTCGACTGTGCGTAATGGAGAGACAGAGAAATTTGTTGCAGCCACGCAACATATACAATCGCAGAACCAGCACGCGATACTGAGTTACGATCGGTGGATTTCGATTTACGCGTGATTTGATTTAGCGAGCGAGTTGGAACGCGCGCGTGATTTTCAACGTCGACGTTTGGGGATTGATCGTTCGCTCCTCGGTTAATTGCTTTCCAAAATTTCGCACACGTCGGCGTGCGATTTAACGGGCAAATCGCATCGTTCGCGTTCACAAGGTATGGGAATATCTCGCTGCGCGCGCGAATTATAATCGACAACGTTATTCGCAAATGCGAGCCACTTCGGAAGTGAGTTCCGGTGCCACTCCCGCTCCACGACAGTGTTACAGTTCGCTGAGAGAGGTTTCGCGTCGTTTACACCGTATATCTGAGAATAAGGGAGAAGGAGAATTCCTGTTACGATTTCGCCGGTCGTTTCCGAGACTCCCGTGCGCTAGAACACTTGTATTCGACGATACAAAGGAGTTGTCGACGGTCGCGGCTCTTGAGAACGAGCTTTGTCGCTTTGGATGAAAGTAAGACGGACATCGTAAGAGGATTTAACTTTATTGCTGCAGCGAGTCTTGAAGAAAGTGGAAGTTAGCGGAAAGTGAGAGTCTTTTTTTTTTCTTTTGGGGGGGGGGGGGGGGGGGGGGGGAGGGAGGAAAGAGAAAGAGAGAGAGCTATGACCGGTTCACAGCCGTCTGGTCGATTGCATCGATCGCGAATCCAGGGACAGGTATTTGTTTGGACGATCTCACGTATAAGAAATTGTATACCTTCGAAAATTCAGGTTAAGGCAAACTTACCGCTCCCAGAGTTGCGGAGCGCGATCGATTGCACGTTTATGTAATAATACGTGATCGTTGAAAGTGGCAGAGTCATCGCCACGAATCGACGTTCACTGCACATTTACATCATTAGATACATAATTTCACAGTTGTGATGGATATCATGTTCTCTGATAATATATGTAATGAACAAGAAATTGGAATAATCTGGAATAATCAAATGGATTTCAATATAATCAGCCACTTTCATTTTATATGTATTTTACACACACACACACACACACACACACACACACGCACACACGCACATGTATACAAACGTAGAAAAGAAAACAAAAATAGATTTTTTTATCCATGCAAATTTACATATGCAAATTTGTTCTTTAATTAATCAACTATGCTTGATATTTGATACTTCTTTCAGATGTAATTCTCTACCACAGTGGATTCATACATTATTACATCAGACTTGTGTCTAATAAGATTGTCAGAGGACATTGACAATAAATTAGGATCTCTAGTTTGACGTAATACTCGCCTTATTGGAAAAAAATCAACATGGATGCCAGTACAGTGCGGTTAGTAATATTTTTGGGCATGTTTCTGGTTTTCGCCGGCGATTATAGCGCATTGATCGCTTCAATTTTTGGTAACGCAACGGAGAGGAACATAACTGATGCTACGAGAGAACCCAAGACTCAACTCAAAGGGCCTTCCCATGATAAAATACCCGTTGTTTCGAAAAAAGACATCGATAAGAATAACGGTAAGAATAAGGCTATCGTGTAAATGATACACGATGTAACATGATACTTTTTCACAAATGCGTTGCGAAATATAAAATTTAATAATATAATCTTTTTTTTCTACAACATAAAACATATTTACTTTGGCAACACAATGATATCCTGTATCTGAGCTGTAATTTTATACTTTGTGTAAGACATCCTGCGTATAAATTACTCAGCATTTTCCCTTTACAATTGCTATTGTATAAAAATATATGCGAGATCTACACGCACATATATATGCCGTCATACCATTATTCATCGAGTTGCGCTTGTTAATTTGCGTGGAGTTAATTATTACTCTGTGAATTGTCTAATTAGTCGCGCACTCGTCTGTTTTAATTATTTGATAACGTTATCGAAATCCCCTCGATTCAGAATGTATGTACATCTCATTTTTTCTTGCAGCTTATCGAAATCTTGTTATAAGCATAACCAGTTCTCGGTTGAGAAAATGCTATTGGAAAGTAGTCTAACGATAAAATGAGTTTCAATCCAATTATAGAGTGAATACGTGTAGTATGTTTTTAAATATTTATAGATTAACGGTATAATTAGCGAGCGTTATGTACGATAATATTTAATTGTAACAATTTAACTGTAACACATTTATGATATTTCAATGATTTTCTATATTTATATTTTCTACATCACTTAATTATTCCTAAATATTTTTTAACAAATTAATATTGTTTTTTATAATAATATCAGAAAAAATATAACAATAAACTATAATGATATATTTATGAAATAGAAAATAGAAAAATAGAATAGCTAACGTTATTAATGTATTTGTATAATTAAATTTCTAAAGATCTGGGACGTAATGAGAATACTTTTGTTTCTGAAAGTAAAAGTGTCCTTGTCACATCCTAGATCTTTAGAAATTTTCGACCCGTGTTCTTGGTTTTTAACTTGTCACTTACTTATAGTGAGATTAAACAAAGCCGGTCATTTATTCGAATATGCGTTGTCATTCGGAATAATATTTGTGATCCATTAATCGTCCCATTAATCGTCCCATCACTCAGAATGATATTGCATGTGTCACGGTATAATTGACAATATGATTTTGATTTTTGTGCAGTTGCCCTGCGCCGTGCAAAGATGATGACAACGATCAAAACTGTCTGCTTGCCGAAGCTAATATGCGAACTCACCAAGTCTGTTCAGCAAGACCAACTAAGTGAAATGGAGCGATCTCTTTTAAATCTTATAAGGTATGCAACTACTTTTACACTTTAGATCTATTTCTTTATTCCTATTTGTATTACAAGAAGAGAAAGTGGCTTAGATTAAATAATAAATAACGAACTTGTCACTAAATCGCAAAGACTGATTTTTGATTAAAGTTTGATTCTTATCAAAATTAATTAGGGAAGAATCTGATAGTGGTAGTTGGTATGCTGCTCAATTTATTTGATACAACAAAGTGAGAATCTACTTTCGTTGAGGCTCTTGCACTCAATATTCTTACTTTCACAACTTTCGATCGGCATTGCAACTAAACGACTCAGGGTCCGTCGACCCTGAAATGCAGGCGCATCGTGAAGAATATGAAAAAAACGCTATTTCTCTCCGGTCACGCAAATAATGGCACGAGGAAAATTGCTAAGAACGTAATTTTACGCGAATGGCTGCGTTTCAAAAGCACAAACCGATGACTGTCCATCAATGATGAATGGATGTGTCGAGAAATTTTGCAATCTTCAACGAAGCTAAAAGCTAATAATAATCACATGTGCATCACAAGTATACAGGATGTTTTGGAAAACGACGACGTAGGCGACTGTAGGAAATGTCCAACGAGAAACGCTTGCTCGCCCGGGAAAATTGGATACCGGGACAATGGCGCGCACATTGTGCGTATTTTGCAATTTTCATTTACGATCGGATGTAAAATG